AGTTTGAGGAATTTTTAATGGATCCTAAGATTGCAAGAGGTAAGGATACTATTAAAGGCACAAATAAGGTTGGTACATCCTCAAGGGCATCATAATCAACGTTCGATTTGATTGACGAAGAAAACTTGGAGTTCTTTGACGAAAACTGTCGAGGAAGGATTGTGACAAAACAAAACTAATACAAAGTAAGGACTGATGAAGACCTTCACATTCTGGAGGTTGTGAGTTGAATCAATCATCAAGAAATCAACAACTTTTTTGCGTTTGACGCAAGATTTCAATGAAGACTTGATTCGAGTGTTTTATGCCAGGTTGGATAAGCGTAGCAAAGTTGAGTTCAATTTCCACATTAGAGGTAATATGTTTTTGGAATCGCTATAGGAAATGACCCATTGGTTAAGGATTCAAATGTTCATCCTGAATTCAAATGGAGAATTCATTCAAATGAGCAGTTGAAGGCACCAAAGGATGATGACAATAATGAAAGGATTACTACAAGGTGACTTAACAGAATTCCTCGCATAATGCATTGGTTTGTTAATCACATATTGCATCCTAAAAGTGGTGTTTTTTCAAGAGTTGATAATACCGAGATACACCTTGTTTATCTTCTTCTCAACAAGATCAAGATAAGCTGTCCATATTATTTTATGTCTCATATGTTTAGCATCAAATCATGCAACAAAGGAAATGCCTTCTGCTATCCCTCTATGATTGCCAAGATACTCAACTACTTCAACATTATCATTCCAAATTTGATGTATGTCTCTCCAAGTGCAACTTTAGAATTCGCTCAACGAACTCTGACCAATATGAGATACATATGGGATACGCAAAGGGAAGTGTATTATTATCTGGTACAGTTGTCAAATAGGAGAATTTATAATTTTGATGATCCCATTGAGTTCCATGACTTTGGTGATGACCAAGGGCTTGATGACTATGTTGAAGATATTGGTGGGGTTCCTCAAGGAGATGTCCCAATGACTGATGTAGATCATGAAGCAGATGAAGCCTGGTTGAATGCGGCTGAAATTCAATAACATGAAGATGAACAACCTTGGAGGTATAATTGGCAACACAATTCTCAGACTGAACAAAGAGAAAACTACATGGGGCATGATGCAGGTTCCCATGACTATGGTTCTGGTTCTTAAGATAACAGGTATTGATTTGGTGCTGGAAATAATTCCGGGGTCATTTCAATGCTTAAAAATATGCAACTTTAACAAAATCAGTGATATGAAGAAGAATTACAATGGCAAGCTGATTTTTAAGTTGCTCATAATGAGCAATTTAGAATTATTCATGAGAGATTGAATTCTCAAGACATAAACTTTGATATGTTTGCATCAGCTGCTACAACATAATTCAAATCAACTCATGATGACATCCACATGAACAATGTTGTTGTCCGAGGCAAGATCAATAACTTGTACTCCATAGCACTTCAAAATCATGAGGAGACATCTGAGTTTTATGAAGACATGCGTAGGGGTGGAAGAACCTATCACATGTGTAATGATGGACTTAGTGGGTGTTAATGTGTTGTGTCGTTTAGTTGTTATTTTCATTTCACGCATTTCACATTATTCCCTTTTATGCTTTGAACAATATATTGTTTGGTTTTGATGTTAGAATAATTTGTGCAACTTTGCCTTATCTATGTGTTATTGGATACTTTATTTTTCAATTTTCTTTTATCTATTCTTAATTTTGTGTCATTCCGTATACATGGGTGTACATGAGTGCACACACTTACCTTGCAAAAATGCCTCTGTATGATATATCAGTTATTATGTAAAATTATGATACTTCTAATGATGTGCTTTGTCTCTTTTTGTTGTTGTCAAAGGGGAGAAGGCATATGCGCAGGATGAAGATTGAAAGCACATATTCAGGGGGAGCGTCATCAAATAAACACACTAAATGCATCATCGTAATTTGTTGTTTTGCCATCATAAAAAAGGAGGAGTATGTGAGTGCAACTTGCATCTAGATATGTTTTACATGATGTCAAAATTATAAGAACATAATATTTTTGTATATCGAACGGTATCTATGAGTTATTGTGACATCCTGAGCATTTAAAGGTCTTAGGAATCATCTGAAACATGTTTGAAATTGGTTCCATTCATTAAAAATCAATTTTCGCACAAAAATGTACTGCATATGTGTCGGCACATATGTGTTTCAGGCCGACACATGCAACTCAATATTAAAGTCCATTGAGGCTGTGTTGCATAGACCGATATATTCCATGTATAGGCCGATACATTTACTATCATATTGAAGCATGTATCCACTTACTTGCTTAGGACGACACATACTCCTTTATAGGCTGACACATACGATTATTTTTGTGTCTATGTGCCGGCACACCCGTGTTTCAGGCCGACACATACTGATTGTTTGGGTCATTTTTGTTTAATTATTTCATTCCTAAAATCTCATCTTTCCATCAAACTTACACCACTATAAATATATTATTTATTCATCTTTACAACTTGATCAAACTATAAACACTTATCACCATTGCTCTTCACCTTCAAACTCTAACCTATACATAGACATTGATAAATCTTACATAATCATCTTTTGTCGGGGTTCTATATAGGCGAGGTTTGATAATGTCCAATTAGGTTTTTATGTAACCGAGAATATTGGGTTGAGAATTGTGAAGGGTTTCATTCGGAAAAACCTAGGGTTTATCCTCCACGATCTTTGGTAGATTTGAGGGTTTTGCTCAAGACTTTCAAAAGAGGATTGCAGTCAAGTGAAATTCCTTCGGAGTTTGGTACCCAAGGAAGTAACGAGAGAATAACAAATCAAATTGAAAGTACTTATGTTCAATAGTTACAATTGATCGTGCATGAAATAACTTTGGAGTTCGGTACCCAAAGGAGTAGCAAGATTCAATAAATCAATTAGTAGTTATTATGTCTTGGTCTTGTTCAAGATTAAAAGAAGAGAAAGGGTTGAATCAACAACAAACGGTTAGGGTTTGTAGGGTTGTTCTTGGAACACTTCTCTTGTAATCAACTTTTTGGATAGTAAAAAATTATCCTAATTCTAAAACGGAATTGGGGGGAGACCACGCCATAGCAAAGATGATTGGTGAACTCCCTAAAGATATCTTCATGTCACACTCTCTTATCTCTTTACTTACTTTACTTTTCATTAAGCAATTTGTTAAATATCATTGATTGATCGATTGACTCGTAAGAATTTTTACGTGGTTGTTTTTGTTTTGAATTGGTTATTGATTAGATTATAATCAATTTGATTATAAGTTATTTTTCACATCAACACAACTCAAGGAAAAATTCTGAAAATTCGTTCGCACACCAAGTGTTTGACAAATTGTTTTGTTCGTTATTTTTGCTTAATTTCATTGGAAATTGAATTGCTAGTAACTTGCTATAAACGAATAACATTGTGTTGTTTGTTTCAAGTGTATAAATTCATATTATTGGTTGTTCATTTCATAAGGCTTAATTGCATATCCGAGTTTCAATAACTAGGTTCATATAGATGACTTTTATCGATTTATATTAAAATCTCCCGCTTGCGCTCTTTTCAATTAACTTTTTAAAACTTTAATTTTAATTGATATTTTAGCTTGGTGATCTATTCACTCCCTCTAGATAAGTCATTGTCGTCTAACAAGTGACATCAAGAGCTCTGGTTAATTCCTTGCTTCGAAACTCTTATTAGAAAATGGCGTACAAACCTAAAGGGGATTATAAAAGAATATGATAAAATATATACATAGTATTTGTTGGTTTCTTTATAAAAATGATTTGTAAGATTTTGTAACATAATGCAATTTAGTTCGATTTACAAAATAGATACCGCAAACCAAATGAACTGTGCGGTTTTGTGGTTTTCAGTTTGATTTCATTCCGTTAGGGGTTTTTTATTGAACCAATTTGATTTTGTACAACCCTATCAAGGACACATCACTCCCCAAGTTCGCACACTTTGGACAAATTGTTAAAAAAATATACGATTTATTCGAGGAAAGACATGCAATCTAATAAATGGACGCTCGATCTAGAAAACATGCGATCGAAGAAGAGCTGTGGGCAATATGTCATATATCTTGCCTCCACATTGTCACTTGCAGATTATTTTTATATTAATAACTTTTATTTTTTTAAATTCTAGGAACAATTTGATGAGAATAACAAAATTTGATGCGAAGAAAATATTACTTGAAGTTATATAACTTGAAGTTATATAAACTTCATTTGATAACTAGGTGTTTTCATGGTTTTATGGTTTCCTTATATGAATTAGATGCTTATTTGATATAAATGTTGTCATTGTTTTATCTATGATTTTAATGAATAGTAAACAAGTGTTGCTTTTAAATCATTGTCATGCCATACTAATACTATATATATGTGTAATATGCAATGTTTTAAAAATATGTCGGAGTTAATGTTTAATTGATTGAATCAGTTAATTTTATGGTTGAACCGTTTGATTATATGAATTAATAATATGAAATTAAATTTTATAGAAATTTCATGCATAATTATATATTCACAACTTAATAAAATAAATATTTCAAAAATTTATTAAAAATTTAATACAATAATATATATAATAATACAACATAGATATACATTTAATTTCAATTTTCATTTAAAAATAATTTAAACAAATTAAAAAAACAAATTAAAATAATTCAAACTTAAAATTAAATAAGATAAAATTATCAAAAATAAGCGATACAACGTACATAATTGAACAACAATAAGTAAAAAATTCGAATTCAATGAATAAAAACAAACAAGTCATAGTTGACGACTACAACCAAATATTTGTTGGAGGTGATGATTTAGCATTTGATTTTCAAAAATTTGGTCAGCCGCAGTGAACTCAATTACCCAACTCTAGTGCGTAAATCTTCCGTCAAGAAGAAGCTGTAAATACTACTCGGACGCAAGAACCACCAAGAAAGTTTCACTCTCTTGAATTTAATCAACAACATGACGAGTTTCGGAGCCGCAAATACCAACCCTAACAAATCCTATGAGGTAAATATCCAATTCAGTGTTTATACATTCTCATCATTCAATCATTTGCATAAACCCTACCTTCAATTTTCAGGTTACGCAACCACCTACCGATTCTATTTCAAGCATTTCCTTCAGTCCCAAGGCCAATTTCCTCATCGCTACCTCATGGGACAACCAGGTTCGCTGTTGGGAGATTTCAAAGAACGGAACCGCTCTTAACACTACTCCCAAGGCTTCAATTTCTCACGATCAACCTGTAAGTAATGCCTTCAATATCATGTGTTAGGGTTAGGGTTGAACTTTACGTTTAATCCGATTGTAATTGTTTCTTGTTATAGGTTTTGTGCTCTGCTTGGAAAGATGATGGAACAACCGTTTTTTCTGGAGGTTGTGATAAGCAGGTCAAGATGTGGCCACTTTTGTCCGGAGGGCAGCCAGTGACGGTTGCCATGCATGATGCTCCCATCAAAGAGGTTGCTTGGATACCCGAGATGAATCTCTTGGCCACCGGAAGCTGGGACAAAACCATTAAGTATGCATATTCATTCTTTTATTCTGTTACATTACGTTCTAAACAGTCTTTTTTGTATTAACTACTAGAATTGCCTTGTGTTAGGTATTGGGATACTAGGCAGTCCAATCCGGTGCATACTCAGCAACTCCCCGATCGCTGTTATACAATGTCCGTGAGGCATCCTTTGATGGTTGTGGGAACTGCAGATAGGAATCTCATTGTCTTCAACTTGCAGAATCCTCAGGTGCTGTTTTATTCGGTATCTTTGATGGATTAGGTTTGTGTTCTAATGTAAACTATGGTTTATACTCACGAGATTCCAATTAGGTTAACGCGTGTTTGCTTATAATTTTTTAACATGATGTGAAATCTGCATTCTCTTCCTTTTCTCTATGCAGGTGTAATATGCTGTTTGTAATATTTTTATTTATATCAAATTTGGATAACTGAACTATTGTTTGTGGCAAACCCTTGATTTGATGTTCTCAACAATTTTCACTTGTGTATCTGAATGCTCTTTACCTTGCACTGGATCTAGATTATTCAAACTTCATTCAGTAGTCTCACACCTAGGAAAACCCTAAATAACAGTTCATTTGTTCAGTACAAGGAATGCATTGTGCTAAAATAACTCGGTGATTGTCTTGATAACCATGTTTTTCTCTACTTCTACGACTAAAATTTTAATATGTACTAGTACTTAATATCATCGGGATTACACCTGATCTCTCTATGCAGCCAACAAAAAAAAAACGGAATTATTACATAACTTCTTATTAGAGAAAATTGAGTAAACATAAAGTTAACTCATGGAACATACAACCCAAGCTGAACATGAGTGTTCTCGTTAACCGTTTTTTGTTTATATCAATTATGGTTTGATAATTAAAAAAATTATGGTTTTATATGTCTTACTGTCTGTTAAAGACTGTGTTGATCTTTCATTCAAATTTTGCTGTGTTTAAATTTCACTCTTTCTGTGATTTATGGTTTTTATTGATTTTTAATATTTGATGAGCTATTGAGTTCAATAAATGATGATTTAATTCTCTTTCTTGTAACTTGTGTGGAATTCACACCAGACGGAGTACAAAAGAATAGTATCGCCCTTGAAATATCAGACAAGATGTGTTGCTGCTTTTCCAGACCAACAAGGTTTCTTGGTATGTATTCACTCCTCATTTACATTCATGTTCAGTTATAGAAGTCTGCAATCTTAATTGTTACCCTTTTATTTTATTTTATTCCATCAATGCAATGATATGGGTCAGTTCTCCATATGTATTGGAGGAGCGTTTATGTGCATGCTGTGAAGAGATTGTGAAGTTTGAGGATGCTCTAATTGGTACATTGTATTGCACCCTTTAGACAATTGGGTTATCACTGCATTATTTGCTAGAAAACTTTTGTGCTGACGCTAAATAATGACAATATTGAGGCCTTATTTATCAAAATAGAACCATATAGGTGTGAAAATTGAATTTTATATTTACATATTACTGTTTGCTGCATTTGTTTTGTACATTACCAACTCAAAAACCATCATTTTAATTTAAACAGTTTTGTGCTTTTATGCTATTAGGTTTTTTCTTGGTGTTATTATCGCATACATCCTTGGTGTATACACACTGGTTTCCATACTGATACTATTGAGTATGCACAATTTTTTCTATGTAGGTTGGTTCAATAGAAGGAAGGGTTGGAGTACATCACCTTGATGATGCACAATCGAGCAAGAATTTTACTTTTAAATGCCACAGAGAAAGTAGTGACATATATTCTGTCAACTCCCTGAGTTTCCATCCTGTAATGATCTTCATAATATTAAAATTAGTTAAATTTCATTTTGAAAGTTGTTTATTTAATATTCTTTTGTATACGATCTTATTGATGGCTTTGTGTTCAGGTACATCACACTTTTGCAACTGCTGGATCTGACGGTGCGTTTAATTTCTGGGACAAGGACAGTAAACAGAGACTTAAGGTTCTAGTTTTGTTCCTAAACTTTCCTCTTCACCAGTCTTTTCTTTCTGAATGCAATCTATGTAATTCCAAAATACAATAATTTTTTGTATTGCCGGACATAAACATGATAAGTAACTCCTTGTCAGTTTTCATTAGTGAGGGTTAGTCTATGATGTATTCAAGTAAGTATAACTAATTACTTGGTCTAGCTACCTAACAAGCTAACCAACCAACTAACCAATTACTCTAACTATTCATAACTACTTTAACCATACTAATTTTCCTTTATTCTAGAATCCTTTCTGTATTAACCATGTATCAATCTAGAAAACAATACAGTCTTCTTTCCACCTTTGGCTGTCTTTATGAAGTTATTTATTGATATTTCATTTTATAATGTGTTTTGTAGGCTATGCAAAGGTGTGGTCAGCCCATACCTTGTGGTGCATTCAACAATGATGGCTCCATATATGCTTACGCAGTATGCTTCCTATTGCTGTTTTTAAAATTGTAGTTATTTACTTTCTATGCAATTTGTTTCTTCATTTACTATTATATAATCAATAACAAAGTCAAAAGCTTTATAATTGGATCATTAGAAAAATTTCAAAATCTGAATTCATATTTATCAATGGGCCCATTTTGCAATAACATCACATTATCTCTTCATTTCTTAAATAGATTATCACCCCAACTCTCCTACTATCTCAGTTTCCATACTTGTAGTAGCCATTTTCAATTAATTTTCTGGTGATTGAGAGTGGGTTAATGTGATGTTCGTTTGAAGGCACACTCAAATATGCCTATTCAGTTCTTGAATTCAGATCAATAAATCAATGTTCAACTCTTTCAAATTTTGAAACATATCAATCTTTTCTGAGCTAACAGAGTATGTATGCTGCTGGATATTGGATCAAGAATCAGATATTGGCATATCCTAAATTAAAAGGCTAAATTGATTAATTTTAACACTGAATGACTTTGTTGAGGATGCATGCATCTCCCCCACCCCCAAATAAAATAATCAAAATAATATCACATAATACCTGAATCTTTAGACAGTTAATTATAGCTAAAGCACAGTATTTATAGCCTAAATCCCATTTGTCAGTTGGATTAGATGTTTGAGTTAACCTGTCAGTTTTATGCATATGCAATAGATGTTCTGATTAGTTGATTCTTGTTAAATGAAGAAATTCGCCATGCTGTTTTCTATGAACTTGCTCTAAAGACAACACAACTTTTGCTTTTTATGGACATGTTGATATGTGTCTTGGATTCAATTAACTTTATTTGGCTCTGAACCAACTTTTACACATGTCTATAGGTTTGTTATGATTGGAGCAAAGGTGCAGAAAATCACAATCCAGCTAATGCAAAGAACTGCATTTATTTGCACTTGCCACAGGTACACTTGTGCATGAAGGCATACATATGTGCATACTCGTGTTTAAATTGTTGAAGGATCTTCCAATGTATGAATTTAAACTAATTGGATGGATGAAAATGAAGGAATATAAAAGAAAGAAACAAAATCAGAATTCTTCAGTATCGAGGAATTATGATATATCTTAGTTTTCACCTGTCTTTAATTATCATGACACATTCAATGGACAAGTTTATTTATGTTTAGTTCCCTTTCATTTTTCACATAGAAAAAGTTAGTCAGTTTAGGAGTAACTGTTTTTCTCGTATGAGCAGGACTCTGAGGTTAAAGGTAAGCCACGAGCTGGATCAACTGGTAGAAGGTGAAGTTTGATGCTAAAGGCTGTGTTTTGCTGTGTCCATAACAAGGATTTGGAACTAGAAACAATAGATCAGTGTTTAATGTTTTTGGTGCAAGTGCAACAGCTAACATGATTAAACTCATGATTAAACTCTTAATCGGTATTTGGTTTTCATCTAAAATTTCATTTCTTAGATTTGTCCATTTGTCCATCTTAATCTGCAGTGTTTAATGCTTTTAGGGTCAGGCTGTTACTCTCTTATGATCACACATACAGACTTAAATGGTGTTGATATCTTTTACAATTAATGTGAATGTGGATTGATTGTGATAAGTTATTTTTTCTTGGTATGAATGTCATCATCACACGACGTATATCCCTATCATGTTTATATTTTGGGCTATCACAATTTCCAATAATTAGAAGGAAAAAGATGTTTTAGAATGTCACGTTGATGAAAATGGTCGTTGCTATTGAATTAATATACTATTAAAGGACCAATCATACTATTTTGCACTTTTTAAGTCAAGTATGAGAATGTTGTATTTTATTTTGTTAATCCCACAAACATAGAAATCTGAATAGCATTTAAATACAAGCCACTGCAAATTGAATAAGCCAAACTAGTAAACACAGCACACACTGTCAAAGATTATTGTTTTAGTGACACAGACTCTATTGTCTTGCATAGCTCCTCCAGTTTCTTCAACCTCATTTTTTCACTCTCAGTCAGCAGCTTTTAATAAAATCATAAATAGAAAACATGGAAAGGAATACAATATTATTAACATTGTAATTGAAAACAATGACATAACACAAGTGTTGAGTATTATACCTCAGTTAGTGTTACTACCAAATTAGTCTTCTCTTTGTTCTTTTCATTAAAAGCTTCCAAGATTTCTTTATACTCTTTCTCCTATTAAGTAAATACTAAAAGTTAGTTTTCGCTATTATTCCCACATTCGGAGACGAATGCATAATTGGACGAACTCCGTGCTTAAATATTGTGTGTTAGGATGTACCATACCTTTTTCTGGTAGTTCTGTCCGAGTTGCTTTAAATCTTTGTTAGCCAAATCAATCTTTTTACGTATCATTGCAACTTCCTTCTTCATAGGATCTTCCATCACTTCAAGCTCCTAGTAGATTATTAAAGAAAAAAAAGACATTAATGATTAGCATGTACTAAATAGGAAGTAATAGTAATAGAACTCCCAGACTGTGTTGAATGCATTACTGATTAACACTTCGCGCTTTAAATTTAGATTGTCGGATCTTTATCGAGCAATCAAATATGTTTTTCTTAAACATGGAACTTACTTCCCAAATGTGTGCCAAGCGCCTCGTCTCTTCCTCGGCGCGTCCAAGTTGAAGTTCAACTCTCTCTTTCACCTCCATCTTTCTCTTCTCAATCTCTTCTTCCTTAGCTTGAAATGTGGAAATGGCCAGTTTTGAAATATCCTCATCTTCACCCTCTTCTGTTGAAAACCTTCCACTGCTTCCAATACTTCCAAGGTTCTTCATTTTCTGCATGTTGCCTCTCTTTCTGAAAATTAAACACATCAGTTTCTTCAAGACTCACTTCTACTTTTATCTTATGGTTATGTCAGTTAGCATATAGGCTTGTTTGTTTTGCTTCCACTTCAATATTCTTCCTATCCATCACAAGTCACAACAACTGGTTTTTAATTCTCTTGACTTGTAAAAACAGTAAAGAGAGTTTTAGCTTTTATTATCATAATCTGTAATCTGTTATTGAATCCATAGTTAACACCTGCTTTAGCTTTATGATGAGGCTTTATATTGGTGGCCACTTATTTTTGTCTTTAACCCACTGATTTTCAGGAAAAGAGACTTTAGCAATTCAACTTAAGTCAGAAAATAATTTAATTATAGCCTGATTAAAGATTTATTCGATATGGTTTCTTCTAAAGGATTACTAGTGTTTAGAAATATTTGAATGCTTAACTATTCTGTGAAATACGTTTAGAATAGAGAAAGTAATTTAAAATATTTTTATTTATGGAAAAAGCAGTTAGAATCTTATATTCAAAGTTAGATAATATGTATACCAACTTACATATATTCCTTCAAGTTAAAGATATGTGTTTGGGAAATCTCTACTATTGTGAATATTATCATGGATATTCAAGAAAAATACTTTTTTATTTAAACATAAAAAAACAAAAAATATTTATAATATAAAATTGTTAATTTCTTTCTCTAAAAATATAAAAAAAAATTGTTTTTTATGAAAATAAAATAATACTACCATAATTCAATTACTTGTACAATATGGTTAAATACGACAGATGTGATACCAAAAATATATCACATTTAAAATTGTACAAGTATAATCAATTATTTAATTGAATTAACGATAATTAGACCCAACAATCAAGAAAATATTTACATTAAATATACATATAGAAAATCTAGTATCACCAACCAGGAGAAATTAAGAAGGAAGCCTGCTACAATTAAAAAAGTGGACTCATAGCCAGAAGAAGTTTATCCGAAAGTATCTATCAACACAAACTATTGCCAATTAGTGGTAAAGAATCTAATTGGTTGATGATTGTCAACGGGCGGCAAACGATGAACACCGGAGTAGAAATGGGTGTCACCAAATACATACTCTCTTATTGTATTTATATTTTGTATTCACAGAATTTTATAGTTGTAAAGTGAAAAAAAAATTTTCTACAGTTTGTGGACAGAGAGAAACTGTGCGGAAAATCATCATTTTTTTCTTTAATTTTGTCAAACTCTAATTCTTTATTTCATTATTATTGTGTATTGATAATAATCTTGTTCATCAAGATTGATAGAAATTCTTCATAGGTTTTGGTGGATTTTCAACATCTAGTATCAAGATCACCGGTTGAACGATTCAAGGCAAGAAAATTACGATAGCAATGAATCATTCAAACGGGCATTTTCCAGCAAGTCTTTCAATTCTGAAAGTTGATAACTATGAGAATTGGTGCAAGCAGATGAAGGTAGTGTTATGTTGTCAATATCTTTGAGATTTTGTGAAAGATGAATTAGAATCACTTGAAGAAGATGTGACAAATGAACAAGAAGTTGCACACAAAGAATTGAAGAAGAAGAATTATAAAGCTCTTTTTATAATTCATCAATGTCTTAGTCCAGAAAATTTCAAAAAGGCGAGTGATGTAGAATCTGCAAAAGAAGCCTGAGAGATTGTTGAAAGTCCTTTGGAGGTGCAGAAAAGATAAAAGAGATGAGGTTACAAACTCACAAAAGAACGTATGAATTATTTCAGATGAAAGAAAGTGAAAGAATAATTGATTTCTTCGTTAGGGTTACGAAACTAATGAATCAAATCAAGGTATATGGAGAAGTGTTGACAACAAGATCAGTTGTTACAAAGATCTTAAGGTCATTTGCTCCAAAGTTCGACCATGCAGTGGTAGCCATAAAAGAGTCGAAAGAGTTGTCGAAATTAACAATAGAAGAGCTTCAAGGGACGCTTGAATCTCATGAATAAAGAATGGATGAAAGAGATGCAAGCTAGTCGAAAAGTGGTGTGGCTTTGCAAGCGCAATCAACAAAAGAAAAGAAAGGCAAAGGAAAATGGTTCGACAACAGAGGTAGAGGGAGATAAAAGAATTCGACTGGAAGAGCAAACCAACTAGAAGGAATTGTGTTGAATCAAAGAAGACCCCCATACCAAGGAAACCAAAGAAGTGGTGCTTCCGGTAGAGAAAGAGGTGGTCATCAAAAGCCTGACAAAAATCACATTCAATGTTTCAATTGTCAGAAGTATGGTCACTACTTTAGTGATTGTCCAGAAAAACAAAAGAATCAAGAAAATGATGCAAAGTTTACAAAACTTAAAGAAGAAGAAGAGATGATGACGATGATCACAACAAGAGATGAAGAGAGATTCAAGGACCAATGGTACTTGGATTCAGGATGTACATTACACATGTTTGGAAGGAAAGATTGGTTTGTCAACATAAAACCCTCGATGAAGAACATGGTGAAATTTGCAAATGACAATACTCTACCAGCGGAAGGTATTGGTGATGTTCTGGTTATGAGGAAAGACGACAAGAGGTCAGTAATTTCTAATGTGTTATACATACCTGTTGCACCCCAAAAATCACCCTCCTAATTGATTATTTTATCTGGCTTAGCCTTTTGCATTCATCTGTATATATTCCATTAGGACAGTAACATACATTTGCATTCGATAAAGTACCATGGGGTTCAGAGTTCAGTGGTTGTGTGATATTAGGGTTTTTACATTGGTTTGAGGTGTGAACACTAAATAAGCTTGATCATATGATTTATCTTTAAGCGAAAGATTCAGGGAAATATGGTTTTCTCCATGGATTGGGGTTGATGACTTCTCAATATTGATTTAACTGGTTCTCATGATTTGAGGTTGGGGTTTGAATCACGAGCGTCGTGACCATTCTCTGGTAAGCTAGCAAGTTATATGCATCAAAGACTTGTTTTCACCTTCATAAAGTTTGTTCAAGGCATCATCTCAAAGGGTTGAATTAGATAAGGTGGAGTTTGGGATTTCAATGAAGATTCATCATTATTTGCTGTTTGCAATACGAGATAGTTTGGTTTAATGTTTTGATAGGGATTGTGATTTGAATCAAAGAGCTCAAGGTATTGTGGAATTCATAAAGAATCAGTTCACGATTTATAGTTGTGTGGATTGCTTGGAATATATGGTATTTGTGACTTAAGTCACTTATTTATGTCCTTCACCATCTTATGTCGGTCTCTACCTTGTTCATCACGATCACCGCTTAGTCATGACATTAAGGTGGCCATGTTCTTCAAGTTCATTTTAAAGATAGGAAATTGGTTTACTTCAAGACCTTGACACATGGTTCAAACCAACTTCAAGAATTCATGTTCATGAATTGGTTTTAAGCTTCAAACATAAGGGATTCAAGTTTGATTATGGTTCATTCAATATGACAAAATTCACCATTGAAATCATTCAAGTTCCATGTTAATTCCATTAAAATGAAAGTTTATCCGTGTTCATTACAAATTGTTCATAAACATTCCAAATGTCATTCATCAGAAGATTTACATCATCGAAACTACACATAAATGTTTTGTTTTAGTCTAATGCAAATTTCTTCCTAAAAAAATCCTATTTCCTCTAATTGTAAACTTCATTATGTTTTCAAGGTCTTCCTTTACTTATGCTGCCTTGGTTTGTGTTTATTTGTCTAAAACCTCCATGTATTCCCAAGGGTACTATTATGTGTGTTTGCATCACCATGTGTTGGACCATGTACCTGCAAGTTATAAGAATACAATCAACACAAAAGCGAGCGAGCAGCCCTACTGTTATATGATCACAAGCCAAGAAATCATAAGTCACAAGGTATACAAGAGTAAACCCAATTCAGTTTGAAAAGCAGTAAATACATATCCAAATGCACTTGATGTCTCAAGCCAATTGGCAAGAACTGTTCGAACAATCCGGCATAAAAACAGAATGATAACATTCAAAAACCATGTAATCCAGCCCTGCATAAAAGGTAAGAAAATGAATTCAGTAAATCAAAAATCCAGTCTAGAAAATAATGCAAGAAAAAACCAGAAGGAAATCAGCGATCCAGAAAATAACAAAAAAACCAGTTGTATCTACTCTGCACCAGTTCAAGTAGAATAAAAAAATCAGAAAATTAAACTCATAACAAGAACTCAGATTCAATCTCGGCCATCGATTCCTATAACAGATTTCAGAAAGTAATGGCTCAGATTCGTTTAAGTTGTAACTAACTTTCTGATTTCTAACATAAATTATATAACAGAAAACTCACCTTTCACGATTGGGGGGGAATATTCTGCAGAATCACCAAAAAGACCAAAAAATGCTCTGAAATTCTCTCTTCTTCCATCGATCATTCTTCATTCTATATCTCCATCTTCATCCTCTAAAACACAAAAAAATTCTCTTCAATATCTACATCTTCTTCAACCTTTTTCCACCATCTTCTTGTATCAACCTTCACATATCATCTTCAATTCTGCAACATCATCACCACAACATCGGAACTTCGCCCTCTCTACAATCAAACTTCAATCTACATCTTCTATTCGTCATTAACACCACAACAACTCAGAAACACACTCAAGAATCAACAACATACGCGAAAGAAGGAAAAGAAGAGGAAGAAGAAGATTGAGGAGAACAAGGAGGAGGGAAGAAGTAACCGAACCTAAAATATCCGATAGAGATGAAACACCACCACACCGAAACATCAAATTCTCCAATCATAATCGTTTACATGTGCTCCTTTCTCAATCTTGAAATACTCTGGCGCTCTTTGATGTCCACGAGCGACAATAGCACTAGAATCGTGATACTTGGCCGTAAGGTACGCCGTTTTGAAGATTAGGGTTTCTCGTCCTTCTTCGTTGATTCGACCATATGAAGGTTTTTTTTGGAGAAATTAATGGTGAATCTGGATTCGGAGTGTTGTCTTAGGGTACGCACGTGTTGGGCCATGGTGACTTACGCTGGTTTAGTGGCGACGCTCGCAGCGGCATGCTCGTCGGAAATCACCGCTTGACGTCGCGAGAGAGAGGGAATGAGATCATATGAAGCTTGAGGGTCACTAACCCTAACTTGATACAACATTGTTTTGGTCTTAGCACATACTCCCTCCGGTAAGAAAAAATTAACTTTTTATATACTCCCTCCGGTCCCTCACCATCTTCACCGCCGTTTGCTTTCTTCGTTCCGTTTCTTCATCCGCCGTGCTCAACCCTCCTCCGCGATATCACTCAACCTCTCCGTCTCTGCTTCCGAAGCCGCTCACCCCCGTCACTTCCTCGCCGCCGTCCGTCACTTCCTCGACCTTCCACCACTCCGATCTCCAGCGGCCATGGCCCTCGCGTTCAGCAACAACAACACAATGTCTCCCTCAAATTTTAGCGGTGGCGCTCAACCTTCGCCTCCACGACTTTTCTCACCTCTTAGTTTGACCTCACCTTTGCTTCGAACAAAACTCCGTCTTCGGCCTCATCTCTTTGAATCTGTGCCTCTTCTCTTCTTCGATGATGAGGACGAACAAAGCGGAGCCGCTAACATAGGTATGATCTTGAGATATTCTCTTTGAAGTTCCTTCTTCTGAACGCGAATTGTTGTGCGTTTCTGAGATGGTTGTTGTTGTTGTGTGATGTTGTGGGGTTTCGCGATGCAGATCGAAAGTGCAGAAGTGACGCACCGAGGTGCTGCAGTTGAACTGTTGTTTTAAGGTTGATACGTTGCGATGGAGATGATGAAATTATGAGAGAGAGATTGAAGTAGAAGATTCGTTGTCGTTATGCAAAGAACGTTGCAGATTGAATGTGTGCATTGAAGTTGTACCGAAGATGATGAAGATGAAAATTCTTGTGCAGAGAGAGAATATTTATGGAGTTTTCTTGGAGTTTCCTGTGATTCTTCTATGAAGATTGAAGAATGATTGAGGATGAAGATGCATAGAGTTTTTTTTGGTTTTTTCCGAGGGTGATTCTTCAAGTGGTGAAGAATGATTGTAAAGGTGAGTTTTTTTGCAGTTCTTCTCTAACTTTCTATGAATAATGGTATCCCTGTGAATAATCTTTTTCTATTCTGTCCTGTGATCTCCGGTTATATATATGCTGGAAGTTTTGTTGGTTAGGAGGTTAGTTAAGTTTAGTTAGGATAAGTTTAGAAACTAGTTAGGAGTTTGTTACTAGTTAAGTTAGTTATGCTGTTAGAAGTTAGGGAATTGGTTATGGTATGGTTAATAATCTGTTAGAAGCGGTTAGGGGGTTATATATTATGTTTGTTATGTGCAGGGCTGTTTTGGAATTGATAATAATTGTATCTTTTTGTTGTGTAAATGTTCAGGATTGCTTTGGAAAAAAAGGCATAGACCATGGCAAGTTACAATACGCCGGTTTGGTCATGAAGAAGGTAATGAAGATGGAAGCAACAAGGTTGCATTTCAAACACGACGAGGCCACACAAAAAGCGATGATGAGAATCAATATATGCACTTTTAATTGTATTTCTTGTTTTTTGTAGTATTTTTGGATATTGTAAATGGTGTTGGGTATTTGGTTATGATATGGTTTTGGTAAAAATGTATGGAGGTTATGTATAATTGTAATGGAATTTGGATTTGTATGCATTTGAATAATTGTAATGTATGTTGACTTTATTTCCACATAATGAAATGGCCTTTGTATGAATTCAAATAAATGGTATGAATCCAAAATATTTGCAAGGTACCCAAAAGAGACATGAATCTTGAATGGATCCAAGAGAGGCTATTTGGACAATATTTTGATGGTTGGATGAATTTGATGCATGTTTTTTCATACTTGTGGTTTGAATCCCAAGAAAGGCCATGCAAATATTTAAGAACTTTGATTTTCTCCAAATCCACTTCAAATATTGATGAATGAATTCTAATCAAACCACAGCTTCAGTGAACCCCTAATTCAATTCAATTCCTCCGTATAAACCAAACTTGTGTGTCAAGTAACAAGCATTTGAAATATGACACCTTGATCACAATCAACATCTTGTACCATGTCCCGACTATATGAGCGCTAGAACAACGACGTCTTAGACCCCTTCTCAATAGATGATAATGATTATGCCCTGAGGGATTCCTTGCAGATGAATATGAAAGATGAGACATGCGAATACCTTGATATGGAATGAACCTCAGGTAGAATGCTGACAAGCTCAAATATGAAAATGTATAAACCCTGATTTTTAGCTCCGTCTCATAAAACCTTGCAACTTGACATTGAGAAGCAAAGAATAGCCTCGTAGCTTGATGATGATAAGGTCCATGAAATGAAAACCTAGCTTCAAACAAATTATCGATGGAGAAATCAACCGAAACAAGCTTGTGCGAAGATGGGAGCCTTAAAGCCATACACCAACCCTTATTCCTCGGAATCCATGATCTTATGCCAATCTATCAATTAATGATGCATGATGTGTTAGATGACCTAATGTCAGAAAAATGCAAAAATGCGTAAGCCAGATAAAAGTAAAAGGGTAGGACAAATTTGGGGTATTACAGCTGGCCCTATTCAAATCCCTGTAATCAACACACATGCGGACCTTACCATCTTTCTTCGGCACCGAAACCACGTTGGCAACCCACTGAGGGTAAGAAGTTACTGCAAGAAAACCGGCGTCAAATTGTTTCATAACCTCAGCTTTGATTTTCTCGAACATCTCTGGACGCATACGACTGACCTTCTGTTTAACCGGAGGGCAGTCTTCCTTGGTAGGCAGGTGATGAACCACAATGTCAGTATCCAACCCAGGCATGTCTTCGTAGGACCGGGCGAAGATTTCCACATAATCATGCAACATTTGAATCAACCGTTGTTTCACACTGAGCTCCAGATTGGCACCAATCTTGACTTCCTTTCTGTCTGTCTCAGTACCCAGATTTACCGTTTCCACTGGCTCTTCATGTGGATGAATGGCCCTCTCTTCCCGGAGTAACAGTCTTTCCAGCTCGCCAGGCACTTCGCAATCATCTTCACCTTCGTCTTCGGCTAAGTTGATCGGATTTTCGAAGTCATAACTGGCAGTAGCAGAGTCGTTACCAGTGAGATCCAGAGTGGATTGAAACCTGCATAGGTGAGTGTGTGTAAATATAGCTGTTTTGCAATATATAAAGAAAGAAAGGGAGCACAAGATTCGAAATGCAAAAAACGTCCAATGTTTTTATTCATAATATATGGAAATGACAAGTAATAAGCCCTCACAAATGAAGCCACGGTGCCCCGGGTAAGACACCGGGCCATAAAGTTTCAAATTATTGTTCGTTTAAAAAACAAAGGAATTCATTACTGAGTAACAAAAGTAACAGGTATGTAATCTTTTGCAGTCCAGTTGCTTGGTCCACTGTCGGCCGTTGGGTAGATCCAGCTGTTGAACTCATATTCCTCCACTTCGTCACCATCCCTGATAGCATTCACTCCATGGTTGGGCATGGGAGCTGTCACCACATTAGGCTTCTCGGGCGCCTCGAACTGTACCTCTTTAGCATCAATAAGGTCCTGAACCTTATTCCTCAGGGCCCAACAATCATCAGTAGAATGCCCCGGGCTATCAGAGTGATAGGCACAGCGGGCGTTGGGATTGTACTTCAGAGAGGTTGTGTTTACCACCTTCGGAGCTTCTCTGATAGTTACCAGGTTGGTTGACAGCAATTGCGGCAGGATCTGTGACAAGGTCATACTAAGCCGAGTGTATTCTCTTTTGGGTCTCTCACCCCTTGGTTGGTTAGGTTGCCGAGGAGCGGCAACAGGCTTTGAAATTACCACCGCGTTGACAGCTTGGCGGCGTTCCGGTTTATTTTGCCTTCTGGGACCATACACAGCACTGGCTTCCTTCTTGAA